CAGGCCATTGATTTTCTTTTTTCGCAGCACCAGTAATACATGTCCTCTCGATTTTTATCTTTCGTCATCAAATATCCCTTGACACATATTTTGGTATTACCTTTTTGAGATGTGATTATTTGACATATTTCACTCATATTCGTAAATTAAACTACAAGACATAGGACTATACAACTGTCACGTCACGCCAAAATACGTTTGTTCATTTGAAATTTTCAATCGTTCACTCAAACTCAGCACAAATAATTGAGCGTTTTAGATAATATTATCAGTTAAAAACTTTCTTATTGTATTTTATTTTTACTAGGTAGTAGGTAACTAGATTAAACTTTTATAAGATAAGATAAAATTATTTTTTTTTCGGGATTTCAAATGGTCGGTTTTATGAACTGTCGGTATTTGAACTGTCTGCGTTTCAGACTGTCGGGATTTTGGTGTCGGGTTATTGACCATTYGGGATTATCATTGTCGGGATTTTGAACGTCTCCCGAGAAAAACGGTGGGGCAGAATTCTTTTTTTTTTCCAGAGCGTTGGAGATATGATCAACAGTGCGGTGTAGTTGGTGGATGGCTGAATGGTGGGCTCGGAAACCAAATTGTGTGTAAGGAATGATATTGGCATTGTTGGCGATGGAGAGGAGCCTTTTTAATAAAATTTTTTCAAAAATTGTTGATATGGTGGGGAGAAGGCTAATAATTGGTCTGTATGATTCCGGATTTTCGGGTGGTTTGTTTGGTTTGAGAATAAGAATTATGATAGAGTGTTTCCAGGCCCTAAGAAAATATGATAATCTAAACAGTGCATTAAATAAGTGGTATAAATAAATTATGACTTTGCGTGGTAGGTTTTTTACTATAAAGTTGGTAATTAGGTCGTGACCTGGGGATTTTTTGATAAGGATTTTTTTTATTATATTGTTTATTTCTTTGGGGGGTGTAGCTTTAGCAGGCAGAGATATTRGRRYAGGAGATTCAAGGTAGTTTTCAACTATTTTCAGTTGAGTGGGACTGGGTTGAATATCATGAGGACAGAAGCAGTTTTTTAGATGCTGAGCTAGAATATTAGATTTGTCGGCGTCGGTAATGGCCCATGAATTGTCTTCTTTTCTAAGAGGAGGGGTGGGTTGGTTTATTCGTAGAATGTTTTTTGTTGCTTTCCACAGAGACATATTTTTATATTTTTAGTAGTTAAAGATTCTACATAGGTGTTGTATGATTGATTTTTATAATTTTGGATTTCCTTTTTATTTGGATATTTAGTTTGTTGAGTTTGGTCTTGTMATTGGAATACCTAAAGTTTTGCCAGTGTGCCCTAGTTCTACGTTTCTCGGTWAGTAGGGTTTGTATATGAGGAGGAGTTTGGTTTTGGTTAACCTTACCTTTTTATGTATACGATTGCGCACAATGTCAGAATAACAAAAGACAAAATTTTAATTACTCAAAGGCGTACGAGATTGGGTGTGACGTTGCCAAATTTATTATTATTTTTAATATTTAAATACAGATACAAATACATTATTTCAGAAATTAAGAATGATATTATAATACTAAAAAAATATTATTTAAAAAAATTATCGTTAAATTAAAAAATTTAATAGTCCAATATTTAAATTTAATTTAAAATTAATATGATATTAAGAAAATTTTATTACTAAAACAAACAATTATTATGAAGTTTACGTAAATAATAAAAAATAAAAAATATGTAATAATTGAAAAATATAATACTCGTAAGCCTAACAAATTGCCCAGCTCCAACAAAAGAAGAGATTTTAATGCTAATAAGGTTTTTGAAGAACCACAAAGCCCCTGGAGAAGATGGAATTACCGGGGAACTGTTAAAGAACATGAGAAATGAACTAACTGAGTACATATATTTGTTGGTGAAGGAGATTTGGGTAAAGGAGGTGATTCCCGAAGATTGGAAAACAGCAATTATTTGTCCTATTTACAAGAACGGGGATAGACAATTGTGYAGTAATTACAGAGGTATAGCCCTACTTAATGTCACGTATAAAATATTGTCAAGCTGTATTTTAGACAGAGTGAGACCATGRGCAGAGGAATTACTGGGAGACTACCAGGCAGGTTTTAGGAAAAATAGATCGACGATTGACCAAATATTCATATTAAGACTAATATTACAAAAGATGAGGGAATTTAATAAAGAAGTGCACATGATATTTATTGATTYTAAAAAGGCCTACGACTGCATTCATCGCGAATCTTTAATGTCTATACTAGAGCAATATGGTCTCCCTCTAAAATTAGTCAACCTCATAAAGGCAAGCGCCATGAATACGGAAATAAAAGTACAGGTAGGAAACTCCTTATCAACAGCAGCCCAAGTAAGAACAGGATTAAGACAAGGAGACCATTTTATTCAATGTAGCACTGGAAAAAGTGGTACAAAGTACTAGTTTAGAACATATGATATTATAATATTACGATGTTAACATATTATCAAGCATCGCAAACATTTGACATTTTTGAAAGTCCTTTAGAATAGGTACCTATCTTAAAGAAAAACAGAAAACTAATGGATAACTCAAAAACACTTATTTTAATTCAAATGTCAACTATTTATTTTCTCTCTCTAGTCCTTGCTCAACATAGGTAAAACGCATGGAACAAATCTAGTTTAGCGCCCACGCGAATTTTTAACTTTTTTTTTTTGAAACCTAGGTAAATCGACGTTATAAAATTATTATATTCCTTGTATTAGGTAAAATAGAGCGTTTTGCGAATGCGTAAAACAA